TCTTCCTTGCTTGTTGATACCACCCTGGTCTATGAACTGGCTATAAAGGAGGCTACCTTGGGCTGAAAGAAACTTTTTCATTTCTGCAGAGATTACCTGCTCTGAAGCACTCCTGATCCTTGCAGCAATGCTTCTTGAGCAGCTTTTTGCCATTGCAGATAGCAAGTAGGGGTTTTTGTCCAGTGGTGTTGGATCAGCCAAGAAAAACACCTGACCTGTTCCCTTGTTTGTTGTTTTTGTGGTTTGTGTGGGTTTTGTGTTTTTTTTTTTTCTTCAAGCTACCTTCAGCTAAAGCCACCTAGAAGTCAGTCTTCATTGTGTACTGGCATGAAGCTCTTTGAGATCTGCTTTGGGTTTCTTAGATTTTGACAGATTGACAATCACTGTGAATCCATTCAGATATTTCAGTAAGAGTTTTATTAAGGCAGTGTGAAAATGAATGTAAATGCAAATCTGTTACGTGCTAAGTACTCTCATTTCTTTACAGCAGATTGCAAGAATAATGCTTTGGCATCAGGCAGCATTCAGGTAAACGGACACGGAGGACAGCCTTTGAAACCTCCAGTTAAAAGAGGTCCCGGACGGAAACCGAAGGTGGAGACGAATAACAGTAGCTGTGAAGTGGTGCACAAGAAAAGAGGCAGAAAACCAAAAAAGCTACAACTTGTTGAACAGCAGAAGGTTGCAGAGCAGAATACAATCCAGACTGCAAAGGATATACCCGAAGAAGCCTCTGCTTCTACTGCATGCAATTCTCTTTCTGAAAATAATATGAAGGAAGACTTGTTACAAAAAAAAGGCCGTGGGGGTAGAAAGCCAAAAAGAAAGATAAAGACTCATCAGCCAGGCTCAGACCTTTCAGTTCCTGCGAATGTTAAAATGCAAACAAGAAGCAGGAGGAAAAAGGTTGATGCGCCTATGGAGGAGGGGTCTGAAGAGCTCAAAGACTCTGAACCTCACATGAGAACTAGAAACCAGGGTAGGAGGACAGCCTTTTACAATGAAGATGACTCTGAGGAAGAACAACGGCAGCTATTGTTCGAAGACACCTCCTTAACTTTTGGAACATCTAGCAGAGGCAGAGTCCGAAAGTTGACTGAAAAAGCAAAAGCGAATTTAATTGGTTGGTAATTTTTACCAAGGGTTTTACTTCAGAATGCTATGAAGCAGGTACAGTTAAGGAACAGCAGAACAGACTTCTGCTTCCCTGCTGCTATTATGGGTTAGAAGAATATGTTCTGATTTGGGGAGAAAAACTTAGCAAAAAATAAACTGAGAGAACATTCTTTGAAAGAAATATATATTTTAAACTTTTGCTATTTATTGCCCTCCAAATAGGTTATGCATTTCAAAAGTCGTTTTGTTCACAGTTGAGAATAACTGAAGCAATTTCTGACTGATGTACAGAGTTGAGAACTACTCTGCTGGAGTAGTGCATAGTATCTCTACACAATTAAAAACAGGTGATAGAACTTTTAATGCCACAAAATGAAGACAGAAATTTATTTTTGACCAAGCAAGATACACTTTGATTGTAAAATTGAGTTGCCTAGGAAGGCAGATTTTGTCAAAAAGTGGCGGTAAATTCACTTAACATTTCTATTAAATACAAAAATACCAAAATTTGCTAATCTGAAAATGCTTAATTTCAGTTGTGATGGAAGGTTCAGCTGCAAGAGAAGCCTAGCACAGGCTGTTGGTTCATCCAAATTCTGCCAAACATAGCAAAAATGTAATCAAATATATATATATCCACATTGGAAAAAGTTTGACTAATGTCTAATTTTGCAGACCTTGATTCTTGTATCAATCACTAAATCTCTGTTTGTTGTGCCAAAGACTGAGAATCAGTGCAGTGGAAAGCCTTTTCTTCTTTTCGGGTGTCAGTCCAGCATACCATTTGCAGTGATAAAAGCTGTGTCTTGTTTTAAATAGTAAGTTGTTAACATTGTTCTGAAATGTATCCTTTTTGGTACTTTTGGTAGAAAATAATGCACTGGTGGGGTCCTTTGACAGAGATGTTTTAGACAAAATGTATAATTGGTTAAAGGATTCAAGGAAATGACAGGACAGGTATGGAATTATGTTTACTTTCTGATCCAGATTGATTGTTGTTTCTACAACTTTAGACATGCTTAAGAGGCTGAAATGTCCTACAAAGAAGACTGTATGTGTATATATTAATATATACATAAACACATACGTATAAAATATTACCCAGGTATAAATTTTTTTCAGGATTTTTTAGATAGCACTAGAATTGAAAAGAAATTTTAAAATGTCATACTTTATAGTTTAATTTTAAGGGGAAGATTGGTTATTTTCAATTATTAAGGTTAAAAGGCCAAATCACTTTTTATGCAATCATGTTTTATACAGTGGTCTCATTGCACATTGTGTTTTTCTGCACTTTTTATGGTATATCATGCTGACATAAGTCAATATACACCCTAAAGAAAAATTCCATTTAATGATTGTGCCTTGTATTCTATTATTTCTTGCATCCTTAGTAAAATTAAGTTGTCTATTGTAAATGATAACTATATGACTTAGGGGAATGTATTGTTATATGTACTGCTCTGGGAAAAAAAAGCAGTTATTTATTTGTTTATGGTACATTTAGTTATTTTATACCTTTACAAACAAACTTTAATACCATTTTCTATCACTTAAAAAAAGTATTGTCCAGTTTTAAGGAAAAACATTACAGAAGTAGTCATATTTTCTGAGATCTGGTATGGTACAAAAATGTAACCAAAATTTTCTGGTTATACGTTATTTTGGAAGTTTGGATAGTGTGAAAGATTTCTTTTTGTGTGTGTGACCCTAATTTAGTTGAAAAAATAAACCTGAAATGAAACCTCAGTTCTGTACACAATAATAATAATTTTTTGGCTTTTTTTTTACAAACATCATCTGTAATATCTGGAAGGGAGGGCATACAGAATTAAGACCTTAAATTTGCACAGATTTGAGGCCTGATTCTTCATTCTTCTGTTAAAAAAAAAATATATGGTTAAATGTTTGAACAAAGAACATTGGTATCTGGCACCAAGAGGAACAGAAGTACGCTGCTGTGGATGGCAAATCGGTATCCACCCATACCTAGATTTATGTAGTTCATTACACAGTTTGCTACAAAAAATGACAAAAATATTTTCCAGATCCTCTTTGAATTGTTAACGGATATGAATTTGGGGAGCAGGGATTAGTTTGTATTTCATTTCTGGCATATTTATTTTTTCTAACAAGCATCTATCATGCAATTAAAGTTGAGTCACTAATCATGGTAAGATCACAAGCTGTGGTTGTGTAGTTGCAATCCAGCTTCACAATTCAAAGCTAATTGATTCTGCTTGTTAATTTTGTCAAATCTCACTGACGAAGGCAATCATTTGAAAATGTGTAATTTCCTGATGTTATCTGCATTGTAATATATGAAATAGAATATATCTATAATTCACCTTCTGTATTTACTCCATTTGTAATAATGTTTTGTATGGCATGTTTATGTATATATTTATATCTCAAAAATACCTTGTATGTGAGTTTCCGAGAATGAAATAATATGCATTCCCTTAACAGTATGTAGAAAATTGTACATTGTAATTTTATGAGAGTAGAAGGCCTTACCTGCAGAACATGGGTAGTGCTTCCCACCTAGTAGTACCAGTGACTTTAGCCAGTAATTTTTTAATTCATAATAGACACAGTAATGTTTTTCCTTTGAAAATAAATTGTGGATAATCTGGGTCAAAATTTTTTATAGAAGCAACACTAAAAATTTATTCAAAATACCAGATTTATTTAAAAGTTATATTTTTATAATTTAATTTCACTAGGTTGCATACTTTATTTATGAGATTTTAGTCACCATCGGACTGTGCATTTTGGTTGGGGAAAAAATGTATTATTTGAGGTTGTTGTGACATACTGTATCAACCCAGAAAAAGAGCTTTTGGTTACAAAGTCTTAAGTTTTTAAATGTGAGCAATAAACTCTTGGTCAGTGTTCTGAAATAATTTAAGAACTGTAATTATATGCATGTTTTATAATGCCATCTCGAGTACCTAACAACTGGTTGAGAAAACGGAGTAGCAAAGTCTCATGTGCTTGTTTCCCATACGCATTGTAAATATTGCATAGGCTCCTAGTCAGATACACACCAACGATCTTGCAGACCTGGCAGCAATTAGTGCCGTTTTATTCATGAAATGCATTTCTATTTGACATGGATATGAGGATATTGTTCTGGTGTTTCTACTCTATACTGGGAAACAGTTAAAATTGGTATTTACCGCTGAGTGGTATCTTATTTTCTGACTACCAGTGAGGAAATACCTTCTGTTTGTGTGACACCGGTGTGCTCTGACTGTTGAACAGGAATCACTGTACTTGTGCCTACATGCTGAACAACTGTTCAGCCAGTTTGTTTCTCTCGTTAGTGTGTTCTCTGGGAACTGAACTGAACTTTTACCACTGCAGTGTTCATTATTGTCAATATTGAATGGGAGCTCTTTGTCACCGGCAGTGACCAGTGGTACAGCTTGACAGAAAAACGTCTTCCTCGAGTGGTGAGACTGCTGTGATATATCTTTGCATATGTTTATTTGTACAGTGTCCAGGTTGTACACGTGATCAGTTTGTTGATAGACTTGTCAGATTGAGTTGGTTGAGTTAAATATTACTATGGCTTAATATTTGTAAAACTATTAATTGATGAAGGACCCTGATGCAGCACATAGGATATATGAATATTTAAAAATAAATTGTAGTGTAGAGACAACTTACTGTATTGCTGTACAAATATTTTTCAAGTACCAATTCTGATTCTGTGCTAGAGGCTTTTGTCTTAGCAAAAAAAGACTGCATACAACACAAAAGATAGTCTCTTCATTCAGTAACTTCAAGCTTGTTACAATTTTTACACCACACTGTTAAATCTTCTGCTCACATTTGTTGGATCAAGGACTACAGGTAAATGCTTACCTTGTAACTGGAATTTAGGCACATGTTGAATGGTTGACTGGTTTTATAAAAGCAATTGGCTTAACTGGATGGGGCCCTTTCACCCTGTTCTTACCCAGGAGATGGGAGGGTAGGTTTTTAAGCTTTCATCAACATTCACATTTAATTTGAAGCATGCGAGTCTTGCTGAGGTGATTTTAACATATTGCTGGTCAATCAAGATGCAGCCATACCATAATCACATTGTGTCCTGACTCCTTGCCTTACTCTAATACAGTTTATTTTGTCCACAGTAGTTTTTCAAAGGTTTTTCTTTTTGCTTTTTTTTTTTTTAACACAGATGGGTGTTTAACAAGAATTTAAATACAGCTCCAACAGTGCTGTGATACAGGTGGCCGCGGGCTTTAAAACCTCACCTGGAAACAGCAAAAGCTCGTTTTCTGTTTACTACCTAATGAAGACAAATTAACTGTAAAATTACTATCTAATATATTTTCTGTTATCCCTGAAGTTCTTGTGACAGATCGGTTTCCAAGGGGACCTAGATATTCAACTGATAAAAGGGCTGTTAGTTTTCTGCTGTAAATTACTGTATATACGTCCTTGTTCATATGCAGAGGGAAGTGTATTACATTTCCTGAAGCTAGCCAGGGCTTGACATTGTGTTTCCAATAACAAGTCTGGTCTTGACAGCTTACGTAGTTTTTCCTGGTTTGTATCAGGAATACAGTTTGTACACTTTCTGCTGTCTGGAGGAGGTAACAGGTAGCTTTTAAACCAGACTAAGTTCTCGGTGCTCTTGCATTTGTGCTGATGTTAATATGGGGATTTGCCATGCCATTCTACAGGCTGTTAGAGGGGAAACACGCCAGGAAAGCGAGATTAAAATACTTCTTAAATTGCAGAAAAAGGCTATAAGCTTTTTTTTTTCTTCTTTTTCCCAAGGTTCTAACAGCCTCAAGGTACTCTAGAGAGAAACTTTATATGCTGCAATAAAATAAAGGTGAATACATTTAGCTTTTAGGAGGTAGGTAGTGAGACAAGTAGTCATTTGGATCCTTTTTAATGCAGATAAATATATCAGGAAATTCACTTCAAATAATGCAAACAATGTATTTTAGGGAGGGAAGGTAATACTGTACTATAAATTTCTACCCTGAAAG